CAACGAGAGGAAAAGGCAAAGGAAGGAAAGGAAAATCGTCGGGGACAGTAAATGGTGTTTGAGTATAGAATAGGAGGGACGGAATAAACGGGTAGACGAGTCTGGAAACTGAGTTGTACGAGGAGGAGGGAACTTTGAGTACGGCCCGATTAGCAATCGCCATGGAAACAAGCAAGCAGTTGATGCGATCACTTCGCGCATGAGAAGAAAAGGGGTTGCGCAAGATACGCATATATAAATGTATATCTACCTACATACACACCCATATACACAAACGAAGAGGAAGATAGTGAACGAGAAGGGAGAATAACTATAGTGATACATAAACATATACTAAAGTGATCTGTAGAGAGTATAGAGAGATGTACAAAGACATTAGTGGGTAAACGTGTACAATCCCCATTTGTATATAACTCAATACAACGTGGCTGCATTTTAGTCGTTTGACATATACCAACAAACCCTCATATACACATACACACATATAAAGACAAATATATATATTCGTTGTATTTAAAACAGAGTACGATGACGATGAGTGGGTTAGTATTGGTGGTGACGTTGGTGATATCGAGAATGGCAATGGTTGGGTGAAAGATAGATTGAGGGAACCGTGCCGAAAACGACTGAGAGTGAGCGGTTGTGAGGACTGAGGATTGAGGGTTCAGGGTGAGAAAGAAGGAAACAGAGAAAGGTAGATATAGAAGCGACAGGAACAATGTGCATTGAAAGAGTGAGAGTGAGAGAGAGAGAGAGAGAGAGGGTGAGTTAGGTGAAGTGAACGGGGTATGGAAAAGGAAGAAGAGACAAAATGAGAAAGAGAGCAAAAGCGAATGGCAGAGGTAGAGATATAGAGAATTGTCGGAGTTAGAGGAGGTGGATGAGCAAGAGAAAGAAGAGTAGGAGGAGGAGGTGGAGGAGGAGAAATCGGGAGAAAGCAGCAGTTGCCGCTCTCGGGGGCGGCTGGCTGGCTGTTATCATGAGAAACAAGCTTCCACTCTGATTTTTTAATCCGATCCGCACCCCTTGCCACCCCGACTGAATTTTAAAATAACTGCAGAACGCCATTTGCTCCTCGCAAACAGACTGGGGTTAAGCCATCCCTCCCCCAACCCTCCTCCTACAATCCTACCAACCTGCTCACCCACCCTACACCTCCTATTCGTTCCTCTCGGTCCTTCCACCTTCTTTCTCTTTTACTCTTTTCTTCCTTTTTTTTTTTTGATCTCTTTTTCTCATTTTTTTCCTCCCCACTCTCTCTATCTTTGTTTCTTTTTCTCTTGGTTTCAACGATCCCAGGCTGTTCGTTTCGTAGCTAGCTGGGCTAGCTAACTACTGTATTCCTCTCTTTCCATTCTTCATCACCGTCTCTGTCTAGTCTCTCAATGTAGGAAACGTATCAGTCACGACACACGCGTGTGCGTTTTCCTACCTTTTTACGGTAACCCTAGTTACTGCACGGATAGATATAACACACTTGGATTGAGAATAGGGTGATTCAAGTATACGTGACGTTTTCAATGTTTGGGTAGATTTTTTTTCCAGTATAGGTTGAAAAGAAAGAGATGTGTATCGGATATAAAAATGGCCAATGGTGCTTCCAGTGCTGGTGCTGGTGCTGGTGCTGGTGCTGCTGTTTGTCAAATTGAAATGTTTAGAGAACTCGTATTTAGAATCCGTTCTGAATCCTACCCTTTTCTACCATCTTTCTATCTGCCTACGATTGCTTCTATCTAACTTAACCTAAAACCTGGTGAAAGATAGAAATTGGTAGATAGATTTGTTTATGGGATTATTCAGTTTTCTTTTTTTGTATATTTTTGTAAGAAAGAAGAGTTTGATGAGTGACAGTTTTGATTAATTTTTCATCTACCCCAGGGTTGGTGTTGCATAGTTTTGTTGCTCAAAGTTTCCCCACTCCGACCTTGCATATCCTCCCCCCTTTCCATTTATTTTCTACTCTTCTTTTCCTCTTCTTCGTTTCTTTTTAGTCACCGAATCGTGCAACATCGGGCACGCTTGGCGTTCACATTCGAATTCTCTTTCTATTTTTTTTTTCCTTTTACTTTTCCTACTTTTTTTTTGGTTCTTTCTGTACCCACACGTCGTCGTTCCGCAGGGTGAAAATAAAGCTCAATAATGGCGACGCGCCGTGACGTAGCTGGCTGGCTTGCTGGTTGGTTGGTTGGTTGGTTGGTTGGTTGGTTGGTTGGTTGGTTGGTTGGCTACCTTTTTCGATGTCTCTGAAATGGAATAAATCCTCGGTCGTTTTTTTCTTTCTATCTTTTTTTTCCGTCTCGGTACTTTTCGTACTTTCAAACAAAACCATCTAAAATAAAATATAAAAAATATAGATAAATAAAATGGTCAATTGTAAAAGAGAAAGAAATAGCTGTTTGTTCTCGATAAAGTATTATTATTATTGTTGGATATTTGAAAATATTTTAATACTCTTTTTTTATAAATATAATTGATGAAAGTTTATTGTTTTAGTTTATTTCTTTTATTTCTGTTAAAATCTTCTATTAAATTATTTCATATCAAATTAATTATGGCTGAGTTTAAGTAATAATAAGAAAAAATGGGTAATTGTTTTTATTTTATTTAATAATAAATAATGGTCATTATATGTATTATTTTTTTTCGAGATAAAATAAAAGAAAATGGAGATTTGGAAATTTGTAAAAATTCGTTTTACAATCTTACAGAATATTTTTTGAAACAAATCAATAATTTCTTGTCAATTTTTTCAAAATTTGATCAACCACAATACAATTATCTTCAATTTTATTTCTAATTAAATAAAAAGAAAATAGAAGTTTAAAAAATAAATGAAAACTTTTACAGTATTCTCTCTAATAAATTTCATAAGTTAAAATACAATAACTTTCCTATATGATTGAAATTAAATGTCCAAATTAATAAAAAAAATAAACTTCTTGAAATAATAACGAAATAAAATCATTTATCAGAAAAAACATGAAAATGCTATCAATGATATATAACCTCATCAGATTTACAACGATGAAAAAAAAAAAAAAAATAGAAAAATAAAAGAAAAAAAAAACTAAACGAAAGAAAGATAAAGAAACAAAGATCACACGAGTAGTAAAAGATCTTCGTTGAAAAACCCGTTAGAGTACTTAGAGTTTTCAAGTTGGAAGTCGTCGTCGTCGCGTCTGATCTCCCTTGGGTGGTGCTCTTATCGGTTGGAAAAAGAAAAACGTTTTCTCGAGGATAAAAAGAGAAAGAAAGAAAGAATGAAAGAAAGAAGGAAAGAAAGAAAGAAAGAAAGATCGAGGAAGAAGCATCTGAAGAGGTTGGGAAGGTCTCCCCGACGCTGGAAAATTTAATTTCGATCCCGTCGATTCAGCAGTTATACCAAAGTTTAATCTTTGATAAGGGTTAGTCTTTTAGTAATGGGATCCTAGAGGGTCGGTCTCTCCGGATGGACTGGGTGAGGCAGACGACTAAAGCAAAAGAGACCCAAAAAAAAAAAGAAAACCCCATAGAAAGAGACAGATATATAGAAAGAGAAAGAGTGAACAAAAAGAAGAAGAAGAAGAAGAAGAAGAAGAAGAGAGAAAAAGGGAAAAGGACAGAGGACACCTCTTCTCCTTTTTTTAGGATGGAAAGGAAAGAGCTTAAACCGTTAGATAGAGATCTGCTCTTTGGATGAAAGTAGTACCTTCCCGCTTATAGCTCTATCTATCTCTATCTCTATCTCTATCTCTATCTTTATCTTTTTCTTTCACTTATTCACCCGTTCCCTTTCTAACCAAGGACCACAGCAGGACTCAGACTTTTATAACGCTACTCGCGAAGGCGTAACGAGCCTCACGATTGGATAAGTTTTCCCGACACGAAGCTTCCGCGGTGATTCCAGAACTACTCTTCCTATTTTTCTTTTTCTCTTTTTTTTTTTTTATTCATCTTCTCCTACAACTGCAAAAGAGAGTCTTTATCCCCTTTTTTCTCAACCTTGTGGTTGTATTCCAGACACTGGTTGTATCCGGGTCACGCGTATCATTCTGACGATGAAGACTCTTAACGATCGGATAGCTTAATAAACGGATAACTCGTACGATCGTAACCACGTTCCAATTAAGGAACTTATAGGAGAAGGGAGGAAAGAGGAGGTGGAGGAGGATGAGGTGGGGGTGTTTAAGGAAGAAAGGAGTTTTGTTTTTTATTTACGATATATATATATATATATATATATATATATATAATTTCAATCTGATTTAGTTTAGCCTCTTCGTAACTTTTGGTTGATTTTATAAGTACTTATGTGGATAATTAGTTGAGTTATTTGTTGGAATTTCTAATGGGTTTAGGATTTTATTAGATCAGGTGTGATTTGGTTTATATAAGATGGTTAGATTATTGTTAGATCTTTGTTGGTATTAAAAGGATGATTGATGATTATTTTTGAGTTACTTGAAGTAGTTTAAGTAGTTTATTGAATTATTTTAGGATATCATTTGAATTCTATCTATTATTTAAGGTGTTAGAAATTAAAATATAAAATGCTAGATTTAAAATATATCTTTTGTAAATTTGAATGGCATTTGTTATTGCAAATAATAATTTGGGTAGTCTCAGTATTTTGGTATCTGTATATTTTGTTATAACAAAAATATATCTGATCTGTTGAGTATTTGGAATACTTGGTAACATACCTAAATAAATAATTAATTTTTTATTAATTTTATAAATTATAATTACATTACCCAAATTATCATAGGCTATAACTTTTAATGTTTCATACCTGTATAACATATTTTAGAAGATCTGAAAATATGTTAAATTATTTATCACATCATATATTAAAAATATATCTCAATAACACATTAAAAAATGAATCCTAGTACCACTGTAAATTATCAAAATAAAATGTACCCAACAATAATCCATTAATATAAACCTCCTCGTATAAAAGAATAAATCGAAATCAGAAGATTTAATGGGAACACTGTGTTCTGTTTTAATTGTTACAGTTATGCAGTTGATTTGAATGGTCAAAGGCGGAAAAATGCAACGAGAGAAACTACGAGTACGTTGAAAGCTTGGCTTAACGAACATAAGAAAAATCCTTACCCAACTAAGGGTGAGAAGATTATGTTAGCTATAATCACGAAGATGACGTTAACGCAAGTATCAACGTGGTTTGCGAATGCACGAAGGAGATTGAAAAAGGAAAATAAAATGACGTGGGAACCACGTAACAGAGTAGAAGATGAGGATAACAATAACGAGGATGACGATAGCGGTAGGAAGAGTGTCGATGAAAAGGATCGTCTCGGTGAGTTATACTTATGTTACGAATTTTATTAAAGTCTATCAAAAAGTTCTGCATTGCATGAGCTTTCATAACTTGATAACAATGATATCATAACTTAATTAATTGTTCAATAATTTTATTTCATTGATAAGCTAATTATTAACCAAATAAAATATTTTCTTGATAAATGCAATTATTCATCATATTATAAATAGTAAATGTAACTTACCTAACCTAAAAATTTCTAATATTTGGATATTAAAGTAATTTTATTTTCTGTCATGAAGTATAAAAATATATTTAAAAATGTTAACTTAAAGAACTCGCAAAGTTATCAGAACTTTTCGGTATATTTAACTCCATTCCAATGAACCCAACAATAAAGAAAACAAACTAGGAAAACATTGTCGTAAAGGAAGGCTTGTTCGTTAAATTACAGATTCTAAAGATTCGGGTACGGGTTCAAGCGAGGATGGTGAACGGCCAGCTCACAGATTGGACTTATTGCATGGTACAAGTGGTGGTCCAGCTGGTGCACAGGGTAGAACGGAGAGTGAATGGAGTGAGTCCCGTGCGGATAGTGGTCCGGATAGTCCGGAATGTCTGTACGATCAACGAGAACCAAGGCATCCTTTACAACTTCAGCATCCAGCGTATTTAGCATCAAGTCATAATCGATTGCTTCGTCACCCATCACCTGAAAGTACGTCACCTAGTGCACATCACCATTTACCACCAAGTACGAGTGCACCGTCGACGGGTAATCCAGTTACGACAAAACCAAGGATTTGGTCGTTGGCAGACATGGCAAGTAAGGATGGTGAACAGCAGAGTCCAAATCCAACGACGATGACGGGTTTGACGTCACCTTATGGTGGAACGGGTGGTGGCATTGGAGGTGGAGGTGGCGGGGGTGGCGGAGGTGGTGGTGGTGGTGGTTCTGGGGGTGTACCTGGAAAATTAGTGAGTCCATTAGCAAACCGTTTACGACCTCATCATCATCCGTTGCACCCAGTGATGCATCCAGGTACTCAATTCGTAAGGCCTCATCCGGACTTTTATCGAAACTTCTACGGGGCATCTCACCTTGGTTCTGGAGACATGTCTTTGCTGGAGAGTTACTCGAGAACTCTTGGTGGTTTAGGAGGTGTTATGCCACCATCCACAGCTCCAAGTATATTAACGTCATCCTCATCGTCAATAACTGGCGCTGGTAACGCCAAACCTTTTTCCATCAATGGGGAAGCTACCGGTGTTATTACAGGACCAACAGTTATGCTTACAACGGCATCATCCGGTCTCTCACCTTCGTCATCATCGACGGCATCATCGGGTGGCTCGGATCATTCACCTCATCCATCAGGTCCCTTACCACCAAGTCAAGAGCTCAAATCTCCTGGACGTGTGTGATTCGACGTCTAAATAGGTGTGTCAACTCTTTGATATAACGAACGAAATAATAACGATTACAAATATTATAATGAATGAAAGAACATAAAGAAAAAAAAAACAAAAGAAAAAAAAACGTTTAAGACTATTAAATAGAGTCGCTAAAATTTTGTCCTTTAGCGACGAACGTGTGCTGTGCTCTGGTGTGTCCGACAATAATGACAGACTACAATCTTGTAATTAGTGTACAGTGAACGACATTGGAGTATAACTCTTCACATTTGGCAACCCTTTTTATCCCGCTTTGAACAGTCCTAATCCCTAATTCCTCATTCCCGATCCTAAATCCTTGACCTGTTCAAATTCGGTTGTGTTTGATCAACGAGAAAAATAGTAGTCCTGATATATCCGTAAAGATATTTACGGATATCATGGTAAAACTATCCTAGTACTGACTTGATAGTAAAACATTATATATAAATATTATATATATATATATATAAATATAAATATAAATATACATAAACATATGACGATAATATTATTATTTATGCGTTTGTAAATAGTAGAGATGGCCTATTAGAGAGCGTCCGGCCAGTGTATGTATTGTATGTAGAGTAGGTACACACAATTATTATTATTATTATTATTATTATTATTATTTCATATTAATATTATTATTATTAATATTATTATTTTTAATATTATTGCGATTATTATTATTATTATTATTATTATTATTATTATTATTATATCACAGCGGAGATCATATTATTCGTACCGATGATCATCCTCATCATTAAAATCATCCTCACCGTCATCACAATCGTCATCGTGCATCGTCATTGATTATTATGAATTATTATTATTATTATTATTATTATTATGAATTATTAATATTATTATTATGATTAATTATTATTGTTATCGCAATGTTTATATCATCTATTCGCGTCGGCTCGGTCGATCGTGACGAGGTATGGATTCCGTTCGCGATTTTTTTTCCCCCTCAACATTGAGATCACCATTACGCCCTTTTTATTACGTGTATGATGAAAAAAAAAAAAAACAAATAAATAAAAAAGAAAAAGAAAATTAATATTTCGAAATGAGAAAAAAAACAAAAAACAAAAGAAGTGGCAAAGAAAATAAAAAGAGAAAATTCAAATTACGATGGATCGTAATAAAAAGGGTTTAATGGTTGTTAAAAATAATAAAAATGAAAAAAACACAAAAAAAGAAAATATAAAAAATAAAAAAAGAAAACATATCGTGTCATGTCGAGAGCGAACGATTGCCATCACCTTTTAGTCATTCGTGTCAACAAAATTTCACGCGGCTCATAAACCCGGTGCCACATTGGCAGCCAACGAGCGCAGACTGTGTCTTTTCGCAATAAATGAATCATTACGAAAAAAAGAAAAAAAAAAAAAAAAAAAAAAAAACAAATTTTGAGAGAGATTTATTCACTCAATATTTCTAACTCATCAACAATTCATCATAATTCCACATCCTCCGATATTTTTTCTTTTTTTTTTTTCCCCTATAACCTTTTTATTAATAAAAATTCTATCAAGAGATACGAGGGTAAGTTGTGTGAATATTATTTTTTAAACAAATTATTTAATTAATTTTACAACAAAATTTTCGATGAAAATATAAAAATAGACAAATATTTGTAGGAGATGAAATATTTTATACGAATAATTTTATTAAATTAAAAAATAAATTAAATAATAATGGAAATAATATTGAATTAAGTAGGATGATACAAAAAAAAAAAATGAAAATAAAAATTGGTAATATGGATAAAATAATTGAAACATTTGACAAAATTGTATTCTAAATTGAACAAATTATTATATATCAAAATAATGAAAAGTTAATTTTTTTTTTAAATAATACAAATTTTAAGAAGAGTAAGTATAATTTAATTATTATATTTTAAATATTATATTAAATAAAGATTATTTCTAAGTAATTGAAAAAATTCTAATAAGAAATGAAAAAAAGAAAAAAAAAAACCATTAAATCAACAAATAAAAATAAAATATTATTTATATATAAATATTATAATTAATATATTATTTATAATATTAGAAACTTACTAGAATAAAAGGTACTACACAATGATAAAAAAAAAAAAAAAAAAAAATACAATTCAATTAAAAACACACATAAAAAAAAAAAAAAATACCCAAAAAACATTTGTTACAAATGAAATAATATTTGAATAACAATAAAATACAAAGATATCATTACGATAAAATTATACTGTTGAGAAGATACAAGGCGCCAGAGTATCGTAGGAAGAAAAAAAACCACACAATACATGGAAAGAGAGAAAGAGAGAAAGAGGAAGAGAAAATAAGAAAGGAAAAGAAAAGGAAAGGGATAGGAAAGGAAAGAAGTCTCCGTTTTACGTTTTACGGGGCCCCATGATCTCTCTCTCTCTCTCTCTCTCTCTCGCTCTCTCTCTCTTTCTCTCTTTCTCTCTCAGATTCGTCCAACGTAGAGTCTGGATGAATATGAAACGTTCTCTCGTTCTTGGAACCGGCCTCTAGATGTACTTATAAAAATGCAAAGCGCGACCGACTTCTGGGTGGTTGCGGGACAAGCCTGGTTATTAGTAAACATTTAAATCGACAATCTCTATAGGTATACACATTGGACAGAGAGAAAACTGGATGAGGGAGGAGGGAGGGAGGGAGGGGGAGGAGGGGGGTGGAGAGGGAATGCTTGGTCTCGTTTCATCTCATTCTATTCTTTATCATTCTCTCATTCTATATCTTTCTTATTCTCATCGATTCAGAACGAAGGAAGTAGCCCCAAGCAGCGTAGGAGAAATAAAGAAATAAAAGAAAAAGATAAAGATAGATAGAAAGTGAATAAGAAAGAGAGAAAGATAGCAGAGGAACGTAGGTTGCGAACCGATCGGTCGCAGTGGAGGAAACAAGAAATCAAGCTTGGAGACCACCCGCCAAGACCTTGGGGGCACCGAGCCGCGGATCCCAAGGAGGTCCATCCCGTCTTCATGAATCAACTCGTTCCTGAATCGGCATAAACTTTCAAAGGGTTGTAGAACTCGCCCTCTCTCTCTCTCTTTCTTTCTACTTGCTTTGCTTCTGTCCCCTCCTCCTCACCTCATCGTATTATATCCCTTTTATATCCGTCCAACCTAGATCTTTCTAACTTATTCGATACATCTCTTGAATGTTTCCTTTTCCTCGTTTCTAACTTGAGTAAATGTATATATTTTTTGTCAATGAATTTTTGTGATTATTGTATTCGATTGTTGAAGTTAAAAAAAAAAAAGAGGGGAAGAAGGAATTGATTGAATGGTAGGAATTTAGTTGGTTGGTATGGTACAATTTTGTTGGGATACTGTGTACATGTTGTTTGATTAATGTTTAGATGATCAGTTTGGATTCAAGTAAATGTCTAATTATTTGGATATTTTTAAAAGAACAATATTTGTGATTGTTAAAGTAAAATAAAAAAGGGGGAAGAAGGAATTTATTGAATGGTAGGAATTTAGTTGGTTGGTTTAGTACAATTTTGTTGGAATACTGTGTACCAGTTATTTGATTAATTTACGTTTGATGATCATTGCTTGTCACCAAATGTGTAAGAATTTTAAGTACAAAATTTTCACTTATTATTTGGTGCAGTATTCTAAAATAAATTTGATGGGAATTTATAAAACCATGAAAAAGGTAAATGAAACGTAACTATATTCTGTTGCTGATAAAAAACTAAAATATTTTACAGTTACACAAACTTATCCAAAAGTTAGGCGAATAATAAAATTTGTATTTTCTTCAAAATCAAATTTTCTAATAAATGTTTTATCAATTAATAACTATATTTTTGATTTAACAACAAATACAAAGAACATTATTAAAAATGATTCATTCTGATGAAATCAATCTTAGTATTGATACAAACTTTCCCAAAAAAAAAACCAAATAAATTTTCCAAAAATATTGTATATAATTTAATAAAAGTATTAATAAATCTGCACACACACACACACACAAACAATTGCATACTTCACAAATGAAGTACCTATCTATGGCAAATAATAATGAAGTATAACAAATACCATTTGAACGTCGGAACGTCGTTAGCATACTCAAATGCTACTGCAATCGCACGTTAAAGTCGTTTTACGTGACCGTAAAGATACCACAATGGTTGAGAGGGAGGAAGAAATGAAATAAAAATAAAAAAAAAAAAGGTTTTAGATATATACCTAAACGTAGAAGTATATAGAAATACCTTATTTTCACTTTGTGTTCTGTATAGAAGTGCGAAGCATATAAACGATTCAGTAAACGGGCCGATGTTGTTGGTAGTCCAGTTGTAAAACGATCATGTTCAACGGCACTTACGAAGACAAGATTATCTTACTTGCAATCGGTATGGGAGAATGTTAGTTTCATAGCTACCTTAATTTACGTTTAGAAAGAACAAAAAAATGTCTATGGTAATCATTAGGTACATTTTAACATCACAGCATACGTTATCGCAATCTTAAAAACATTATTTTACCATCATTTTTTGTTTTCATTTTAATTCATTCAAAATAGCACCCATTAGAAGTAGCAATCAACATCGTCATTTGCTACAATCTTTCATGGACTATTTAATAGGGGTTTGTAGTTTGTTTTTTCTTCTTCAAATGAGAAGTTTATTTTCTGCATCATTGCTTGGTCATCAGAAGTTAAATGCTTTTTTTTTTTTTTAAGAAGGATGGAAGGAAGGGATTTTGTTCAAATATTGTTGGTTGGGTGTTAAACTGAAGGGAATTATGTGGTTTTGGAATTATGGTAATCTTATCAGAAATAAAATGAGGAATGTTTGAAGATTCTTGGAAGATTCAGATACGCGGTCGTTGATCTTGACTAATTAAACTTCAAACTTATTTTGCAATTATATTAAAATGATTCTATATATTCATGAGTATTAATTAATATAATTATTATTTATTTAATAATATCAATAATATAATATATCCTAGTCATTTACTTCTTCGAAATGAATTTTAAAATTTCAATATAATCGATCGATGAAAAATAAGTTCACAAAACACAACATATATCACACATTCTAAACTTTGAAACATTATTTCAATATCGCGTTAAGCTTATTAACCATAAAAGAAGTAAAAAAAAAAAATAATAATAATAATCTGACGATACTTCGGACACCTTGGTTGACTTTTAAGCAGAAGAGGACGAAGAAGAAGAAGAAGAAGAAGGAGAAGAAGAGGAGGAAGAAGTGGAAGAGGGACGATAAAACTTGGTTAAACGTGGTACGCGCGGTGATGCTTTATTGGCCTTTATCGAGTTTCAACGCAAGCACCGGATTCCTTTATGGAAACGCCGTTAATTTTACGACGCGGGCATATTTAGCCCGCGGCCTCTCGTAAAATCATACTTTGGTCGCGATAAAGTTAAAACATCGGCGAAGTTAAAGCAAAGTTCGCCTCGTAAATACGCGAAGGGGTGGACGGTGAAGTAACGAAGGATAGAAAGAGAAAGATGTATAGGAAAAGAGACAGAGAGAGAGAGAGAGAGAGAGGGTGTATGTGTGTGTTAGGGGATGGTAATTTTCTTAGTGTGATATATATTCAATATACTTATT